AGATGGAGATTAACTCGATAACAGTGGGTAAATTCCAAAAATATAGACTTGTCATCCGAAGGCCAAGAAAAGACGCGACGCTCTCGAATGCAAACAAAAACGTATTAATCAGGATATAATGCCAGCTAAACACTTATCATAAGATGCGTATCTTCTTGGTTATTTCAACAATAATTAACTCATCTAGATTTTTAGATCAGAGTCGGATGAGAGGAAAATTACGGTAAACACAAAAGCCCATTTCTCAATAGACCTAAACTGATATGTCTGTAGATTAATACTAAGTAAAATATTCATGTGGTTTTCAGCAGTCCGTTTGATGTTCCGATTGTGCTGTCTAGTTGACTTGGCGATAGAGGATTCTTATCACCATCCTCAGCACATTTATATGACTTCCGGATAGAACATATCAATATCCTCTTCAATATCTACGTACCTTAAATGTAGCTCTGCCTGAATCAATAGGGCCGGCTACGTAGGTGTTGCACCATATGACCTTTCCATGAACATATACACCGATTCATGACTGCATTCGTATATAAGGTGCGTTAACACTATCCACGTCCAAATTAAACTTCTTTAATATAATCAAATTAGTACATTTGAGACTGGCGTGTTAGCCAGGTATCAAGACAGGAAGGCAACTTCCTAAGCAATATTAGATAACAAAATTGAAGACAACTGAACCACCTACAACGTATATGTGTAATAGGACTAAACCCAAAATATACCATGGTGCATAGTTGTAACGGATGTCACAGTGATGCTACATTCTGAAGAAACACAATGCTCCCGACAGTGCATTGACTCAGTAATATCATTAGTGATAGTGAAGTGTTTCGCTCTCTTTAACACAGTTATAAACATGTTGATGCTATCAGGACTGAATGATACAATGATGTTCTGCTTTTTTTTTTATCTCATCTCGACACACCAATAGATAGCAAAGAGCAACCATAAAAGTCAATGTATCTGAAGGCTTCAATATTTAATGACAACATGACAGTGCTGCACCACCTGCATTCACGTGTAGCATGCACAAACCGCATGGCATGTGAAACACACATAATCACAATCAGTATTCTCATGTTATTTACAACGCCTCAGCACGAAAACTCTGGTTTTGTTTTTGCCCAACCAGGCAAAGCAAAGATGGATATTGATATAGTTGCACCTAAATCACGTGTATTGAGAGGTTTTTATCTTAAATAAGTTAATTTCGTCGTGTTATCTGGAAGCAATAAAACGGTTACATCACAATACTATTTCAAAACCGTCTCAAAATCCTACAGACGCATAGGCGAATAAATACTGTCTAGTTTGGCAGAATGATAACTGACAAAACTATTAAGTTATTTGTGACCAGTGTTGTGTCATAATCCCACAATATAATTCAGTATGGTAGCAGTTTAAAGCCAGCATCATACTATCACAAGAATACTAGAACGATCATATTTCAGCCTCCCGGTCACAAATGTGCTCAACACAAGCAATGACGTCACACACATAGAAAGGCCATACTCAAGTGGTCATATGTGTGGTTAGTACATTAAACATTATTGTACCAATAACTGACAAAGTCTGTTGGCTCTTCTTCCAAAATAAAGGATCAACAGAGGTTTTTATATCAATACTCCCTCTAGTGATCAAGTGGGATGAATATTGACATTACACAACCCATGCTGAGACCAAAAGCCATATTTTTTTTCGAATCGTAGACATATTTATTTCTACTGATCGACTCTACCTTCCTGTACCTCATGCGATGATCAATGTGCCCTTTGGCATGGGTCATGATCTATAGGGAGAAGGTGATGTTTATGTTGTTTCAGGGAAAAAAGTGCTGTGTATAGCTACACATGGTATTGATATCGGCCGAGGTCCGTTCTCGTATTACCTACTTATCTATCGAGACGTAATAGAAAACCAACAGTACCTGACGGACAACTTTGATCTATAACAACATTGGTTTGGTTGTTTACTGAAGATCTGACTTATTGGTGAAGAAGAATGACCATCTATCATAGCTTCACCTTTGTTGCTGTAATTGTAACCAGGACCGGAAAGACAAAGTATCCCAAAGATAAATAGGACACGTAAATTGTAAGAGGTAATTTGATGTCGATATTTTTTGATAAATATATTCAGGGTTACTTGGGCTAGTTAGGAATTATGACCTTACAAGCTTGTTGATAGGAAAGTGTAATATTTCATTTCGAGGAGATCTTTTGTTAGCGAAGTTTCGGAACTAAGATGTAGCGCTTAAACTGAGGCCCCTTGTATCTGATAAATGCCATTGTCACACCACACGGAAGTGTAATTTAATTGGCCTGACTATAATTTGGTTTGGTAAATGCTACCTTGTAGAAAGCTTCACAGAATCGATTAACGAAAGTTTAAATAGAACAACCAAAATGGGATGACGTCACTACAACTTAGACGCCTTTCCGCTTCATGATGTTTACACTGTCTACTTATTTGGGTAAGTTCCTACAAGGCTTTTATAAATAATTATTTCGATCGTGACAGTATCGATGTAACTAAGTCTAATGTTGTAAACTGAAAGCAGGATATTCTTTTTTATATTAAACGAGTAAGTTAATAACAAAGGATTTTTAAAACGATTTATAAAAACACGTAAACGATCACGGATGATTTGATTCTATTTATTAATGCAGGTAAACAATCACGGATGATTTTAACCGATTTATTGATACACGTAAACAACCAAGGATGATTTTAACCGATTAATTGATACACGTAAACAACCAAGGATGATTTTAACCGATTTATTGATACACGTAAACAACCAAGGATGATTTTAACCGATTTATTGATACACGTAAACAACCAAGGATGATTTTAACCGATTTATTGATACAAGTAAACAATCAAGGATGATTTTAACCGATTTATTGATACACGTAAACAACCAAGGATGATTTTAACCGATTTATTGATACAAGTAAACAACCACGGATGATTTTAACCGATTTATTGATACACGTAAACAACCAAGGATGATTTAAACCGATTTATTGATACAAGTAAACAACCAAGGATGATTTTAACCGATTAATTGATACACGTAAACAACCAAGGATGATTTTAACCGATTTATTGATACACGTAAACAACCAAGGATGATTTTAACCGATTTATTGATACACGTAAACAACCAAGGATGATTTTAACCGATTTATTGATACAAGTAAACAATCAAGGATGATTTTAACCGATTTATTGATACACGTAAACAACCAAGGATGATTTTAACCGATTTATTGATACAAGTAAACAACCACGGATGATTTTAACCGATTTATTGATACACGTAAACAACCAAGGATGGTTTTAACCGATTTATTGATACACGTAAACAACCAAGGATGATTTTAACCGATTAATTGATACACGTAAACAACCAAGGATGATTTTAACCGATTTATTGATACACGTAAACAACCAAGGATGAATTTAACCGATTTATTGATACAAGTAAACAACCACGGATGATTTTAACCGATTTATTGATACACGTAAACAACCAAGGATGATTTTAACCGATTTATTGATACACGTAAACAAACACGGATGATTTTAACCGATTTATTGATACACGTAAACAACCAAGGATGATTTTAACCGATTTATTGATACACGTAAACAATCAAGGATGACTTTAACCGATTTATTGATACACGTAAACAACCAAGGATGATTTTAACCGATTTATTGATACACGTAAACAACCAAGGATGATTTTAACCGATTATTGATACACGTAAACAACCAAGGATGATTTTAACCGATTTATTGATACGCGTAAAGAACCAAGAGTGATTTTAACCGATTTATTGATACACGTAAACAATCAAGGATGATTTTAACCGATTTATTGATACACGTGAACAATCAAGGATGATTAACTGATTAATTGATACACGTAAACAACCAAGGATGATTTTAACCGATTTATTGATACACGTAAACAACCAAGGATGATTTTAACCGATTTATTGATACACGTAAACAACCAAGGATGATTTTAACCGATTATTGATACACGTAAACAACCAAGGATGATTTTAACCGATTTATTGATACACGTAAACAACCAAGGATGATTTTAACCGATTATTGATACACGTAAACAACCAAGGATGATTTTAACCGATTATTGATACACGTAAACAACCAAGGATGATTTTAACCGATTTATTGATACACGTAAGCAATCACGGATTAATTTACGTATATCACAGAAAACATCTACAGAATGTAAATTATGCAGCAAACTGGATGGTTAAATCATGTCCTTATCGTCATGTTAACACACTACATCTACAAAGCAAATTTAAACAAATGATATTTTCCTTCTATCAACGTGTATGTGTTTAGGAATAGTCTGTGAATGGAATCAACATGTATCCGTTAATATTTCATGCATTACGTTTATAATATATACAAATATATATTTACTTTCTAATGACACCACAGTGCAAAAGTATTACAAATATGTTCCGAAATGTGTCCTAAAGTCACATAATCTTTTCTGTTGTACAATTGTCTTACAAATGTAAGTCAGTTGTTTGTACTGTTGGTGAATTATCAGATACCTCGGTAACTTTATTACTCATGTTTTGCTGTAATTTTGTTTCGATTCAATCACTACATTAGTCATTATAACTCAATCAAGGTATGCTTGCTTCTGGTTCGGTATCTTGGTATTACTTTTGACTACATTATTGTTACTCACAGTAGTTATATATTAGAGAAAATGAAATGCTAGATATAACAGTTTTATTCTGCAGAAACAGAACGTAAAATGATAGATCATGTCCGACTTTGTGACATAAAATAAAACATTATAATAGAGGCTACATTGTGACTTGTGTGTGGTGCTTTGTTATTGTTAAACGAAACATTGTCTAAATAGTCAGCAAAAATAAATGTTGTCTTATACTTAAATGGACATAACAAATATAAAATGTACTTACCAAATCTTTTCTTTATATTGTCTTTTTCAGCTGAAAAAGAATAACAACTTGATATATGTCAAAATATTGAAATAATTTGTTAAAACGGTATCAAGAATGTGTTTGTGGACAACATTTATTCCAGCCGTTATGAAGATTTGCTCGTTTTTGTCTTATCATTACCATAAATATGCGACACAATTACATTTATCCAAAACGCATTGATATACACAAACGAAGGAAAAGAGACTATACTTCTGTATAAACCCTTGTCTCTTACAAAACTGTCACCTAATGATAGAATGTAGCCCGTTAAATCTAGCTTTGATGTTGTAGATGGCATTGGTTCGCTGTTTATGATACATGTATGTGTGAATGTACACCTTTTGTACTGATATGTACATGGCGTACAAGAGAAATTTTTAATGAGAGCAAACTTAATACAACCGGAACTACACATACTGTTCTCTGAATACTGCACATATTTTCGAATATGTTTTGCTTGAATACATCTACTGAAATATACGTGTTGTTCTTTCAGCCTTTACATAACAATGCTGCTAAGTTTCTATCACGCAGATTCAAGCCAAATATATGTTTGCAGATTGATTGATTTTCAATGTCATGTGCAAATGCAGTTTCAAAATCCCGATTAAAACAATGACGATATTTCTAAAAGATGTTCATCTGATATTGTTGATGTTTCGAAAATACATATAGCATATGACAAAATGTTCAATATTCTGAAGACCATAAATAGAGCACACTCGTAAAGTTGATATCATTCTGGTTTCTTGCTCCACGGTATTACCTTCATCTTTTAAACTATCTAACCTAGCATTGTCTATTAAATTTTAATCATAATGCCCGGTGTATGGCACTTAACGACAGTTAGCATTTAATGATATTTAAGTTTATTCTTCTTCCTTTGTTAGTATTCAACTTTGTTTTACCATATAAACAAAGGTGACAGGGAGTTTTTTCTATAAAATCATGCTCATCACCTAAGAATCCTGCTGTCATAACAACACCATTATGGGATGGCCAGTCTGTAAGTTCTCTTCATTACACAGAGATACAATCACAGTCGCCGTGAGTGGCTTTAGAGGCTAATTCATTGCAATATCACAGCATAGATTCGTTGCGTCATCAACATTGTGACGTCACCAAAGACATTAATTGATGATAAAGCAAATATAGATTTAGTATCGGTTTGATGAAAAAGGCCCTAGAATAAGTACCAACGTTATAAGATAAACATTATTTAACATTCGTTTCCATTTAACATGATATCTACGTTACTTGTCAGACGTTTCTGTTTTACATGTCCAGCGACTGTGAGAATGAACAATTATCATTTCTATAAATCCCGTATGAATATGAACTTATTTACGACCGTTTACATAAAACGTGCAGAACCTGTGCTGATTTGATACACATAACATTATTATTTTGTAACCATTCGAAAGTAGATTACATGTCCATCTTGAAGGGAGTTCGCTCTCCCCCTATTTAGCATCATAGATAATAATGCGATTATTTGCTTAAATCGTTAATTGTGTTTTTTGTCCCTACCAGACATTTTGCTTTGACTATACATGTAAGCTGCAATTACCATCACTGCTACATGTACAAATACGTAATTGAGTTGTGTTAGAATGCTCTCCAAGTCTACAACGTTTAGACAGCGGATAATCATTAGCTTGTTGGTGAATATTTTTTTAGCTTTCATTACCGCTAATGCTGATATTATAATGGCCAAATGTGCAGTGTACAGTTTTCAATATGTGCCTTACAGAAATGGATATAAGAAAATTTGAAACCTTTCCAGTAATGTCATGCTTCACACTTTCTACTTCGTGAACATAAAAATAGACAAATATGTACACAGACGAATTTTAAACTCAAAATCAATACAGAAAAGACAACAGGAACAAAGGGTACACAGAAAAGGTGAAAATGCATGTTTGTGTTGGACGTTTGTGTATTAGCGGCAGCTGAAGGCGTTTAAAGCCAGTTGTCGTAAACATAGTGTCAGGAAAGAGTCTTTCAATGCATTGTCAGTTCATTAAAACACTGTAAACTACACTGAGGAGCATATTATGTATCCGGTCGTATTATTCTGACAGGAAAAAGCGCCATTCGGTGCACCATCGAGACCAAAGGCTATATCATGAATTACCAATGGGTAAAATTCTTGCGTGGGAGCATTATATTAATTGCCCAAGTGTTTTTCATAAAAGGGATAATGATGATTACATCGCTTCTATGTGAAGAGACGCAGGAAGAGGGGGCATCAGTTAAAAATGCTTTGTTAAAAGTTTGCTTGTCATAAAATTATTCTAATTTTCACCAATATACTACAAGTTGATAACATGTTCTTCAATATATAATTGGATAAAAAGTTAGATCTGACAACAATATTACCACCCCCCCTTTATTTTGTAAATATTTGCTAGAATGTGTCTATTATAATCCAAAATACTGATACTGATTTTATGAGGTATGCCTTAAGGACGGAGTTGTTGTTGACCTTGCTTAACATGTTTCTAGCAAATGGAAGAAACTTAAAGGTTTTCTTGTTATTGTTCAATTTTACTGGCTTTGCGACATACAAGCAATACTTTAACGCACATATTTAGGTGCGTTAAGAATATGAACTGAGTGATGAACTATCATGATAGTGCATTTCAAAGATTAGAAACTCACGTGTTATATCATGATGGTGCATGTCAAAGATTAGAAACTCACGTGTTATATCATGAAAGTGAACGTCAATTATTTGAAACTCACGGGATTACCCGAAGCTAGTTGTTAACGACATTAGTTTAAATGGTTCAGCCGGATAAGGATATTGACCAGATTATCATATAAAACATTTAAGCTGACATTAACCAGTGTTCGTTATTTCCATATGAAATTGATTTTTTGATTTCTTGCAGTATTGTGTTGCAGTTTTTTGTTTTTTGTTTTTGTTTTTGTTTTTTTTTTTTTTGTTTCTTGTTTCTTTTCTTTTCTGTTTTTTGTTTTGTAATTTGAATGAGATTTATATTAGTTTGCGCTTCGGTATTATTTTATCATGTGTATCAATCTTTGATCAACGAACTTGATGCATAAGTATTATATGTACAAAATTTGAGAGAAATGTGCAATAACTATTATTGTTATCATAGATCTGTACAGGTAGAAATGTTAAACCAGACAAAGAAGTTCATCGTTTAACTCACGAATTTAAAACGTAGAATGTAAATACAGCTAAAATCAGAGCAAAGAAAACTACAGGTAGGTGCAGTATAGTGCAATTGTGTTCAAAGGCTAAACAAGCAAGTTCTTTTAAACGCAAATAACAGTTTTGATGGTTTTGTTTAGAAAAAAGTTTCATATTTGCTTAGAATTGTCAATTTGAGAGAAAAGATGAAGGTGAAAAACAATAAATTGATAATCACACACCATGCTACTGGATCTGTTATTGAACGGAAATACACAACAACTGAGATTGGCATCAATCATTCATTTATTTTGTCTTGATCGGAATCTTTTACGCAACACCGTTAACTTTTAAAGATCTTTCGTGCTGAAAATAATTGCATACTGTCGAGGAAATCTCGTATTTGGAGATAAAAATGCAACTTAAAATGTAACAAACGAAACACAAAAAAAGTTTTAATATTAGAAATGTTGAATGTTTAACTTGTAGTTTTATATACCGAGACAATGATAATGCTGATAGGCCTTTTTTCGTGATTGTATTTCAACAACGAATATGGCATTTTTGTAAATTTGAAACGTATATTTGACCCAACATCTCATCAGTTTCCCAGTGAATAGGTGCATATATGCTGCAAATATCACACTACATGTACCGTGTTTTATGTGCCACTTCCGGACAGAATTACTTTATCGACGTCCGACTAGCCTAATAAGTGTTACGAGGGAATCAAATCTAATTTCGCGTAAATACCGCAAATTAAAATTGGCGCCAGAAAACATTACATGTATTCAACGCTTAATCCAACTTTCAACAGTGATACATTGTAATGTGAAATAAGTGGTGGCCAATCACACACAGTACAATGTATTGAGGCAAAATTGCTGTCAGACTGGTAAGTTCTATACTTATATCAAATGTTTTATAGACTTCTCTAGGTGTATTCAGAGTAGTTGTTTTGAAAGGGTCGTAACGTGTGACACGTCTTGCTAGAAAGGACTCAAATCTCTATCTCAGGTTTCCACGCTATATCTTGTTCAGTTATATCGCTTAAACAGCTTAATCGGTTAATTTACACATCTATCGCACTTTACATAGGCAAGGAAAAGGCGAATAATCAGGTTCTGTGTACAAAATGTGTGTCGAGAATGTTTGTATTTAGTATGTATATGTGGAATAATGATATTATCTATCAATCTTTGAGCTAGTGTAAATTTACCAATTTATTTCTATCTGTACAGCTAATTCTGTACTCTTATTTATTCAATAAATCGATATAATGTTGTTCATCCGAAACATATGCGGAATCCAAATAAGTTAGTAAGGTATGCATGTGAAACCTTAACTTTTGAATGTGTGCCATCTTGATAACGTAAAACCTTCTCGGTATATTAAATAAGCTGCATTCGTACATGCTCTGATAGCGCTGTTCTCATCTGATATTGTTATCCAAGTCTCCTGTATCAGTGAGGGAAACTAATGCCTCCTATATGCTGCGGTTTAAACAGCCTTTGCCTCTTCATGAATTATATTCTCTGCTTTGTTTAAGAAATGGTGACGAGACAAAGCAATGTAGATGTCATATATGAACAAGAACAATTGAAAACCTTAAGTTAAATAACAATTCTTCATACCTAAATATATTTGAATAATCAGTTGTGATGATTTACAATACCAACATTATCCTTTTAAGCCAGCCAAGTAAATGCTAAATATGCTCTCTCAAAAGTTAATTTGTACATCTATAGTATCAAATCCGTCTCGAACATAAACCGAATCTACACGCAGTATATTTCTTTCCAATGTATTATTCTTTCTTGTCCAGATCACGTGAATATGATTACAACTCACCTCATGTCTACACCTGTTCTATAATGCTGCTCAAAAAACCACAATATCTCACGTGCTATAACTAATTCACCGCGCATTACATAACAAACATATCCTACTTGATAAGAAATATCATATAAACACTGTTATAGAAACTATCAAAGAAGCGTATATCAAGTTCTCGAGTTGGCCCGTACTAAAACACACGACGATCATATTGTGAGAAGAAAACGGAATACCTTAGGAAAAGCCACGTGGACAGAATAATCCCTTACCATATATGATCGGACAAAACAACCCCGGTCGTGTAGATTAAGAGCTATTGAATTACCACCGAGCAACCCAATCCAACTCCTTTACATGGCATTAAATTGAAGACTTTTAATCGCGAAGATATGATATTTTTGGAAACATTTATATAAGATATGCTGAAAAACCTCGATCACTATTCAGATATCAATGGACTCCGCCGGCAATATGGTGGCAATACCTTATCGAACTGTGCCTAGTTTTATAAATAAAGGCATTAAATAGTATATATATATATTTACTTATGTTATGTGTTTAATGTGTGTATTTATATGTGATTGTGTTTCCATGTGAAAGGTATAAGGATCTGCGAGTTTTACTGACTGACCATTTTAATTTGAAATGCACGCAGGCAATCTGCTATAAGACCATGTAGAACTACGCATTCACGCAGATTTTACGACTAATACCCATCTACAACTCAGTAATTGCAGGATAAATTTGTATGCTGATACAAATGAAATGAATTCCAATATGTGTTCTGAAAAGTACTTGCTGCCGAAATAGAACTCATTGAAAATAGGAAATGAAGATTTGGAACAAGACATTGAAAACTTGTATGAATGCTGACGAACGCAGCTATTCAATGCGTTGTATTCTATCTACGAAAAACACTTTAGGCAATCGCAAAACAAAATGAATTATTGAGGAAACGTGTGATATGTAGGCATTTAGAAGATATAGAAAAGGCTTTTTGATGTGAACGCAATCTTGATACCATTTTAACACTAAGTCCACAACATGTTGATATACAATCCTTACCTTTCGGAGGAAAACGACCCCCTACAGTCAAGAAAAAGAAACACGTGTCAAAGTTCGCCCACGTATACTGTACACATTCAAGGAAACTTGAAACTTTTCATTGGAGGATATATGATAATCTAGTTGATGAGAATAGACTCCATACTTCCGGTTAAACATAATTTCGGTTTATCGAATAGATAACGAAAAAAATAAATCGATAAAAACAAGAATTAACAAGGTTGTTGGATTGTATATCTACGAAGGAGTGTAGTATTACAATATATACGGGAGTTTGTCTCCTAAACTTCCGAAGTGACAAAAACAACAAACTAACATTACATATTACACACAAAACATATATATCGACAACAGACAATATGCATGTGACGCAATGGACGATGTTCCGACGCCTGATTCGCGCGATATTACTTTCTGTGATTGACCTGTCACACTGGGAAAACATTACTTCGATATGCACATGTATTGTTAAGAGCACAAGAGTCAGAGAATAGGGACGAAAAATAAAAACAATAGAGTAATAGAAACTTTACCAAGACAAATAATTTGGAATAGTTTACATGATTAATCGTCATAAATGAACAAGAATCTTATATATGATAATCAAAAGAGAGAACTATACCGTTGAGAACATGCACGTTTAAACTCGTAGTTTTCTTTTCGGAGCTCCGGCAGACATAGTTCCCCTGGTCTGTTGAGACACTGAAATTTATAATCAGCTGACTAATCAGTGATCTCCCCGGAACCTGCGGCTGGAACATTACTATCTTGAGTCGATTCTCCCACTTTGGGTCACTTTGATGCACAATGTGGCCGTTATGAAACCAGTCTATGTGTTCTGGTGCTCGGTCCACACCAGTGGCATTGCACGTAAGGTTTATCATCTGTTTAACACTTACGAACTCCGTCCCTTGCAGCCAGATTGCTATAGAAGAGAGAGAACCCGGTAAAAACAATGAAGTGAGTGTTACAATATCGCATTGCAGTGTTACTTTTGTACGGGTAGATTGCAGTGCAAAGGCAACAAGCGACTTGTATGATGATGCTACATACAGTATATTAAAAAAAATACACAACACTGAATGAAAAATGCTATTGAGGAATTTAACAATTGTCAGTCAGTTCAATAGATTTCACTCCTATAATTTCTTCGGCGAGTCATATTTAGAATGTTAGCAATTTGCATGTACACCAGCTTTCATCACCGACAAGATAAAGAGAATCCCTATCAACCTGTTTAGTCTACTTTCATTTTGATACAGTTGTGGTAACGCAAAGCGCATCAAAAACATCGTGCGCACATTCTACACACATATAACGCAAGAGGCATTATTTAGCGCACACTGAGCAATAGGACCGCACATTTTGTGCGGTTTTGTAAAACGTTTTGAAGATATGAAACGAAAGTATACATTTTGAAACGAGAGGTGTATCCCGAGCAACAAAATATACCTGTACACGGCTATATAAGTGCAAAGTTTATATAGATACTTACAATTCACCTACGTATATAACCTTTCTTCAAACAATGATAGAGAGAGTAATGCAAACGATATGTAATTTACAATAGTCTGGCAATGTTATACTTCGGATGATTTATTGCGGAGAAAAAAAATCCAGACGTTTATTTAACATATAAAATCTACATGTTTAATTAGTGTCTGTACACGAAGGCTGGTCACGTGTATATATATAAATCAATTCAATTTGTACCCGAAAGACCTACATCTGCCTTACTTATAAACATATGGCTTGATTAGTAAATACCCATGTACTTCGCTATATTTATATGTATTTAGGGAATAAATAAGCATTATCACACATTCGTTCATAAGTAATTTCTGATTTTTTATGAAACTCGGACGGCTTCAAAGATGTTTGATGGCAAATTACGTTCAGTTTTTCTATCGTGCACCCACTGGACATACATCGTGCAGACATCGTGCTCACATCACGCGTCGTGTAACATTGTGCGATTCCACAACTGTATATCGGATTTTGATAGGTGTCAAAATATGCCTGTCCATATTAATAGCATACATACACATACCATAATTCTCAATGAACATAATTGTATCTAAATTACTTCTACATATCACTAGGACGAACACGTTTGGCCATTGATATTATAGACCTACTGTTTTCTTGATAAGGACATCTGAATATTTTATACATTTTCTTCAGCCTATTGGGCAGTACATTGTGTATCTTAGTAGACAGGTAGAATCGAATATAACTTGTATCTTTAATAAGATTAACAAAATCAAAATGCATGTCATAGAGTCTAACGTGTTAGTACAGTTAGTAGGTAAACTATGATAAATATTTAAGCAAATCAGTAAGTTCCATATGTTGTCATGCCTAAAAGAAATAGGAGTAAAATAAAGGTGGACGACATAGATATTGTAACAATGCATTAAGTGTGTCATTAGAGTAACAGTTCATATGGTAAGTAAGATGGAGCGTTGAAGTTTAAGGAAGAAAAGAAAACTACGTCTTGTAGCAAATCTAAACGTGACACTGCCATTGATACAATGCCTTCTTATTAAAATAGAACCTCTAAATGGGCAATTAATACGAGTGTTTAATCATTGTCTTGATGTGGCAATGAAACAGTGTTATCATGTGTAGCAACATGTTTTCTTGACGGACCATGAGTGAGTTTGATTGCGACAGACGGTGTCATCACTAAAAATGCATTGTGACCATTGCATAATTAATGAAGTACATGAAATATATTTCGTTCCACTGCAGCTCTCATACATCCTGTCTAACCCCAACACTGTGATAACAATCAGGCAAAGTCATGCAATTTCCGGTGCGGGAAACAGTCATGGTCACCGGGGACCTTTAAAATAACGCATGCGCGATACTGTAAACATGACACACAAACACAAGCAATCAAGTATATTTTGTGCGTATGGCAAATTCCAAAACCTTGTAACACTATAGATGTTAATTTAGGAGTTTTCATGGTAATTGAAATATGATGCGTATCTTTAATGATTTTATCTAAATATACAAATGTATATAACATATATGAATGTAGACGTTTACGAATTCAATGAATTCTATATGTAGAATAATATTGTGCCATGTTATATCTGAGAGTATATATATATAATGCACGCCAGGTATTCCAATTCTTATATATATTGGTCGATAGAGTAATTGTTCATCTTTCTTTTTCATGTATGCAGATACATGAATGGCGATATATCCCGAAATGTTGAGACGGAATATTGCTACCGTTAGAAATGCAGATTTTTATTCGCGCCTGGATCGAGTTTATCATACAACGACTAGGAAGCGGTTTCGACTTGTAACGGTTCCGTGTTTTTTCTTCGCATATAACTAACAAACGACATACCAAACCAAAGCAGCGATTTCAACTTCTGATGTTTGGTGCTAGTAAGATATCATCAGTTCATTTTTCAAAATAAATATTGAGGTGTTAATTTTACATTGTAATCAAGCATTGTAACATGATCCAGGGTATTTCTGACACGACAGCATAGCTTATTGGCAGGGTTCTCAATCCAATTACAAAATTCTGCCGGGTCGATTATAAATTGCTGTTTATTGTGAGATTTGAAATGAAATGGTAGTTTAATACATGCGAGGCGCGGGTTATCTACGTATGTAAGGAATTAGTACAAAACAAACAAAAAACAAACATGTGCAGGGTTATGTTGAGGAAAACACAGTCAGTGTTGGATAACTTGGTAACTGTTATACGGGTCTTAATGCTATAATATCTACTGATTTACTATTCCAACGTGAAAAATGAAATCAATATTGTTTCATTTAGTATAATAAATGTAATAATATAGGTATCGTGACATCAGTATTAAATAATTACAAATAAATTGATAAATAAGGAAAGTACTCACTTTTTTCTATATCTACAGGTTTATCTGAAAAAAATACAGAAAGTTTTGAAATGAGTGAATGACATTAACAGATAAACTTCTCAGTAACAACATTTAAAAACAAAACAATGAAAATGAATTACATGCATTCAGGTCAAATATAAAAATATAGCCAGAGATTAGACCACCTTTGAAGAAACATGGTGTATTTCAACTCTCGGTTCAACGTCAAATGACTCATATCATAATTGCCTTAGTTTCAAGTGAACACATGACACGATGTTATGAGATGTGAGAAATTTACTACCACTAAATCACCTTTGACACTGCTGTTGATAGGTACATAGAGTATACAAGGTCATTGTTTTAAAATATAACCTGCATTCTGTCGAAAGTGAAGACAGACAATTTCGATGAGCGTTTAGCGAGCACGTTTCGTCTCCTTTTTCTCAGTTAAAAAACCTTATATTTTATAACACTGTATATGTTATATAGTTATCTTGCAACAAATTACTGAAAATTTGGAGAATAAATTCTTCAATAGATTATTGTTTTGTGTTTACGTTGAATTTTACCTGATAAGATACGCTAAAAACAAATTCCACGAGGAAACATAGTTCCAAATTTAAACAGATACAAATAAAATCGCCTATTCAAACAGTTATTTATACACGTATGATATGATGTTTCAGCTAACCAGAAAGTAATTATATCGAAACAATAAATGTGCATATTATATTCACTGTTTCACACAGAAAACTACGCGGGACACGTCTATTGAGGTTAAGGCAGTAAGAGTCGCAGTGAGATATCACCTATAGAAAGAAGCGTGAAATCCTTGTCATATCACAATAACCCTTTTCACATCCGAAAAAAATAGATGTAACACGACCAGTCAACATGGTCCTTTTGGGTCTCTATTTTGTCACCAATTAATTGGTTTTGTAAGAATGACTATCGGTTATGATGTCATTGGTTTTTATTCCAAATATTGCCGTACTAAGGAAATGATTCGGGATGTAAATGGTCTAAAAAAGACATAGAATACTCATAAATAAGTTGCATTGTCACATTATAACCAGACTCAATGATAGGTTTATGGCAAAATTACAGATATATTGTAAACCTCTAACTGTAATCATTCGTACATGTCCTCAATGCCACTAAGGGTCTTAGACAATACATTTGCTTAATGGGTGAACAATAACTACAACCATGCTCGGATAGACGGTAAAGTGTCAAAGTGCCTGATATGCCATTGCAGATTAGGGTATAGGGCATGCGCAGTGTGAGCAGATAGTGCCTTTAAAATTTGATGTTTAAAACTTCAAGGTTACTATTGTGATTTGTTTCTTGATCACGACTTTGGAATGTGATGAAAATATTAACAACAGTCAGACTAGAATGCGAAACTTGCAACGACGGATGTTTGAGTAAAGAAAGCAAAAGTATATATTGCCATTTGTATGCTAAAACATTTCGCCGTCTCCGCTTCTTATACCGATATTTTCCAGGTCCATAAATTTGTCATGTTGTAACTGATTGACTGGTTTCGTGAAATAGATCTGTGTCCAGAGACTAGGACCAGGTGTACGAAGGGTGATAGAGCCTTCTTGGGACTAACATAAACCAGGCGAAACATCGCTGTTTGGTTTCTGTCTAAACTGCATTTACAAATATCTACTTTTTGACACGTGTAATGAATTTAACTGAAACAGCATGTATATCCAATTGATCGAAAATTATAAGTTATAGTAGTGTTGTTGCGGTAACGCTTATTGTCGAAAGACTATCATATTGTTATTTCTCAGCATTGAATACTGTCGAAGAAATAATGTGTTCCAAGAACACAAGTGTGTAGTAGCTGTCAGGTGTATTCTTGTCTACAGCAAAGAAATTCTTTACTTAAAGGCGACTGATTTAACAAGAGAGTTTGAAATACACGAAATGTGAATATGTCGATTTATAAAAAAAAACACTTTTGGTGTGACGTGTATTATAAGTATGGTACATGATAAGAAAAAGAGAAATAAAAACGCATTTAGAAAAAACTGTCCCCAATACGACTGCTATATTTTTCTTTGGGTCTACATGAATGGCAAACTCACTCTTTAACAACAATGTTATCGAGACAAGTTAAATACGATTTATTTTATTGCAATTACAATTATACACTCATATTGATTGTGATGTCAGGGAGAAAATTTCGAAACTTTCCAGAGTTATACGAATCATAAGGTGCCATATTGGTAAACACAGAGTAAAAAACAGTGCAAAAAATGTAAAACTCCAGAAAAGTACATATGACCGCCATATTGGTATGGGTATCAAATCCTGCAGTAGGTAGTTTTCAACCAGCAGGATCAGCAATAACTTACCTAGAACATTTAGATGAACTATATACGGCTGTGTTTTACTGGCGCTTACTTTACACTCGTAGCTACCCGTGTCTGCGATCGAGGTACCTTTGATGACTAAAGTCCATTGAGAAGTCAGCTCCTCCATATCACGATGATTTATACTAATCTCCTCCCGTGGGGAAAACGGCAATGCCCCTATCGTCAATGGATAGTTGTCGGGAATTTTCCTCCACTGCACCTGCAATGATATATTAAGTTTTTTGAGAATATGCCAGAATTGCTTAAATCGTGTCTGCATACCGTAGATACGATATTATGTTTAACACTTTATGGGTATGTATAGTCATAGTCAAACTTTGGACACAATAGCAACGCCAAATACAAATCGTAACAGGTAGTCATTGTAGGAGGTTATCATGTATCTTTATATTACTTATTGTGAAAAACAGTTTTACAACCTCGTTTAAGCTTATTCATTCAAATATCATGATATTACAGCATTGTTTCTGTGCTGTTTATTTAGTTAAATCAATTAAATGAATTCATGCATTTTTTTTAAAAAATCATTATATCTTGAGAGTATATAGAAGCAAGAAAAATCAAAATAGTACAAAGTGGAAGGTAGCATGGCGTTTCAGTAGTAAAATGTATGTAATAAATCATTGTTGTATATCAATATTAACAACATAATTCATTAGATCTATTTGAACTCTCAGCAGCTCCTGATACACTTCAAAAATGTGGTCGATTTCGGATATTGAGCATGGTCTAGCTCCGTTTATATGAGAATAAGGCTTAACAGTTCAAACAGTACTAATCGAATATTATCTCCGTGCGTTACGTGAGACTTGAGCAGTGCCTGTCATTGTACACTTATCAAAAACAAATTACCAGGGATGTTTTTATAAAAGAATTTGAATTCTAGCTTACAGTTCTGGTGCCCAAATATTTGATCTTGCACTTGAGGTGGGCTGTCTGACCAAGGTGTACGGTGATATTCTTTGGAGTAGGGAGAAAAATTGGTTTTGCGTGATGACGAATTAAGCTGACACCTGCAAAATACAAAGAACAATTCAATATCCCAACAATCCTGACTTCAGTAATTAAAACAGTTCCATAGTTTACATGTTGCGTTTCCACTGAAGATGTGAAGCAAGGAAGTAGTAATTTTCACAATATATATTAAAAAAATGATTTTTTTTCTGTACAAATTTTATTTATATGGTGCCCATTGTCGTATGTTGATATCGTCCCCGTAAACAGTATGTGAATACACACAGGATTTTAAACAAAGGGCACAAGGTCACCTTAACAATAGAGTATGTAATTACACGAGGTCACCGAAACAAAAGAGTACGTAGTTTCACGAGGTCATCTAAATAAAAGACTATGTAACTATACTATGACTTTAAACAAAGGGTTAAGAAATTACACAATACGACCTTACACTAATGAATTATTTTACGAGGTCATTTAAACAAAAGATCATACCATTAAAATAGGAAAATTAAACAAAGGAGTATGCAATTATACAATGTCATCATACAAAGTTCTATCTTATAAGGTTACTTAATTTAATAAGTATATGACAACACTAGGAATTTAAACAAATGAGTAGGTAATTTATTTTTAACGAAGACGTGTGTAGCCATATTAGGCTGTTTAAACAAAATATAATGTAATAACACTAGTTCATTTAAACAAAGGAGTATATAATGGTACGAAATCATTCAAACAAAGCAATATAGACTTAGACTTTGTCATCTAAACAAAGATTATGTTACTATTTTAGGTAAGATAAAGACAAGAGTATGTAATAATCAAAATGTTTGTGTAAAGTGTCACATTACAGACAAATACATAACACAAGGTTCAATATTGGCAGGTTGATGAACATTATGGAGAAATTTTACAGTCGCCACAGTAATCTCAAGGAGAAATATCTTATTTCTGTTTGCAACAAAAATTCGGCTGAGTCTTATACGCGTTAGTTTGCCTGTTTGCTCCTTTGTTGTATACCTGGTTCTCATCTGAGAACGTGATATTTCCTACACGGATAGACCAGGACTTACATGGCGGGTGTCGTCAACGAAGCAAAAGAAGCTTACTCTTCCGGAACACCTGGTATTATTAGCATTTCACTTTTTCATGAGTACTTTTTTATAATCTTTCTGTTTTCCATATTTTGCCCATGTTTTATTGAATATGAGTTTGTAGTATGATTCTTGTCACATGTTGGTAATTTCTTGTTTGTTTGTATATCAATCCTAAGTACGCTAACAGTGAATTCGGAGAGAAAAAAAATATAGTACGCGTTTTGTTGGGAAAATAAGAACAGTTAACATTAATCAAGGCAGTGAAACGAGTAAAATATTTGATAAAAAACACGATTTACACACTTCCTTAGATATGATATTTAATCGGTTATTTATCAAATCTAGTTTATAAATGTTACATCAGAATAGGTATAAATACCAAGGGTTAAACTTAAAAATACCAATGGTCTGCTGACTTTCTATCTGTAATAACACTCGTTAGGTCAAGTGTCATTATTTCAGTAATCGGTAGTCCTTCTGACAGCGAAACCAATAATTACCTTCTCAATTTGTCTGGAATTGAGACAGAATTGTCTAGAGCAAGGGCAATTGGCTAGTAAAGTGTCTTCGGTTGTCATCACATGGTCACATTATAGAAGTTTGATATATAATTAATTCTCGTGATATTGATTCTAAGACAAAGATCCGAAACCTCGATGGTTAAACGTCATCACATGTTTATTCGATGGATCCAATTAAGAGGTATTAACATTACTAAGAAATATAGCCTTACCTTACAAAATGATTGTGTCGATATCATGTTGGTTAGACAAAATGATTATGTCGATATCATGTTGGTTAGACAAAATGATTGTGTCGATATCATGTTGGTTAGACAAAATGATTGTGTCGATATCATGTTGGTTAAACAAAATGATTATGTCGATATCATGTTGGTTAGACAAAATGATTATGTCGATATCATGTTGGTTAGACAAAATGATTATGTCGATATCATGTTGGTTAGACAAAATGATTGTGTCGATATCATGTTGGTTAGACAAAATGATTGTGTCGATATCATGTTGGTTAGACAAAATGATTGTGTCGATATCATGTTGGTTAGACAAAATGATTGTGTCGATATCATGTTGGTTAGACAAAATGATTGTGTCGATATCATGTTGGTTAGACAAAATGATTGTGTCGATATCATGTTGGTTAGACAAAATGATTATGTCGATATCATGTTGGTTAGACAAAATGATTATGTCGATATCATGTTGGTTAGACAAAATGATTATGTCGATATCATGTTGGTTAGACAAAATGATTATGTCGATATCATGTTGGTTAGACACTACTGATCCACGTCAAATGTATTAAGATAAGGAACATAATATAGATAATATAACAATTAAACTAAGTTTTCCTGTTAACACAGGCCATAGTGAACTACAATATCACTATATGGTGTACATCTGCACAATGATAGACAACTAAAGAGTACAGCTCCCGAGAACATACAATTACCGACCAAAATGTTAACTTGGTGGCATGTTTCTTTCCTATAAATCGCGAAAGCAGTCGTTGATCTCTGGACCCTGATCGCCCTTCAGTTCTGAACTGAAACAATATCCCTTAGGGAACATGTGTGCGGGTAATGTACTTTTTGACCTTTCAACTATGAACATATTACCACCCTTTATGAAGCTCATTAGACCGTTTTGTAGGACAAGAATTGTCCTTGCCTAAGTGATATTTATTTTATCTAACAGTAAAGAAACAATTTAAATTCAATATGATCTATTTTCATTCTGATTAACGATGTCTTTTATCAAGTTATCGCAATAGGAGCTTATTAAAATAGTTTGGCACCAAAATATTTCTCAATTACAAGATAACTAAGCTTGCGTACGACCCGAATTGAGCCAATAGCAAGGAGAAATCAATACCACTTAATCGTGGATTCAAAGAATCCAACTACACATCCGTTCTTCAACATTAGGAAATAATTCGCCTTGGGCGGTGTCTCGAGAGCTATCTCACCACTATCACTACATTACTCCTTCGTTTTGACAAATCTATTTTTCAATAACCAAGCAGTTTAGATTAATAAAATTATATTTTAGAGACTATGCATATGCATGATAGACATTACGTCTCCTCTAAACACAACCAATTCATTTGTACAAATTAATCTATCGATTACGTATCAGAAATCATCTCTTCAACATGAACATGAACGAGAACGTGCCAATTTCTTGTTTAAAGGAGATAACACTTCCAAGGAATCACAATTGTGATTTCATTACTATTCTATAATTGTTGATTATACCGTAGCCTAGGTAATATTTACTGAAATTAAAACTCTATAATATTTAAGTCTATTTTTCATGACATTCTTTAAAACCTATCATTATCTTCCTCAATGACATGTCCTTCGGGAACCAAGCAGCAGAAGTAGGCAGTTTAGTTTACCATTTGGCTTTATTTTATTTTACCTAATTCTAAATTTGAATTGAAATGGCTGTTCTCTCGTGTTTTGCATAATCCTTTTTTTCAAATGTGCTGTTCTCTTATATAACTTTTGAAATTCCTTTATGAACATGCAGTAAACTGTGGACTTTACATGCAATGCTGTAAAGATGTCAATGAGGTCGAGAAGTATGATCAAGTTTTATCGCCTGAATGATCAGGAACGCGATTCGCCTTATTGTTGGACAACATGATGCTGAACAGTTGATAATATAATCTCTCCTGAGACTCTGATCAGTGACTAGATGATTCTCCTTACCCACAACGACGACATGATATATCGGCCTCCATATCTGATGGTCCTAGCTAAAATCGATTGCTCTTAAAACAATTGCATTGCAGTTATGAATGTAATAAACATCGTCAACAAATCCCGCTGTAATATCGGCAACTACACAGAATATTACTAGACGGCCTATCATGAATTGTATAACCCAAACTATGACATGACATCAAGTCGACATGATAGGGGTGAAGCAGACGCGTTTCCCCCCGATATAGTGATAATCACACAGAAAACAAACATTCTGCGGAAACAAGCCGTCCTTTGTTTTTTACTCGTTAGATTGATTGTTGCCTTCGTTGTTGTATACCTTGTTCTCATTTGAGAACGTGGCATTACTTACTTTGATTGACCATGGCTTACATGACAAGTGTCGTAAATAAAGCAGAACACCTGATTTTATACTATTTGTACATTTGCAGGAGTCTCCGTGCAAATCTTTCTTTTGTTCATATCCTAACATATTATAATTAAGTTGGAGTTTGGACTATGATTATGAAGACATCATGTTTTGTATTTTTTTCTTTTAGTTAATCACATCGCAGCTTACATTATGATCATGTTAGCATGTTAGACTTTCTTTGTTCCTATTATTATAATAAACAGATCTAGTCTATCGACATATGTGTGATATTAATAACGATGACAAATGCGATGAAAAAAATACTGAAATGCTGAACGTTATTCTTCAATCAACGATGCCAAGTTTTATGAAACTTTTAATTATCATTGTTTTATATCACTTATATGTCTTCATATTGTCAGGGAATAATGTAACTCGACCACATTACAATGTCACTTGTTTACCAATGTATCGTCACCAATCCAATAAGTGCAAACACATTTCTATACACCTAGAGTGACACGTGTACGTGTTAACATTGATGTATTCTGTTTAAAGCTAGGTTTGAATGAGTCATGTTGCTAATTAGTCCCGACTTAATTTAGGAGTGCAATCTGAATGTAGTGTAAGTGGCAAAATGCAATATACATATTCATTACCTTGTAATTATTGGCTCAAAATCAATCGGCAAGACAACAACGAAGCATAGTCAAATTTTGTATAAGTAGTACTAGCTATTCTAGATATAGGTATTTTGTCTGATTTATAGTATACAAAATAATCCAAATAAAACAAAGTTACACCATTACTACAGGATCATTTGAATCATAAAGAATATAGTGGATGAATATA